ACCCGATTTTTTGTGGACTACCGAAAGTTGAATGATGTCACCAAGAAAGACAGCTATCCGCTCCCAAGAATCGACGACACATTGGACACATTAGCCGGGACGTCATGGTTCTCCACCCTCGACCTGCAGAGTGGGTACTGGCAAGTAGAGATCGCCGAGAAAGATAAGGAGAAAACGGCGTTTGGCGTTAATGGGGGTCTCTGGCAGTTCAATGTCATGCCATTCGGACTCTGCAACGCCCCGGCTACATTTGAAAGGCTGATGGAGCGTGTGTTAAAAGGGCTGCAGTGGAAGTCGTGCCTCATATACCTGGATGACATCATAGTCATGGGACGCAACTTCGACGAACACATCAGGAACTTAAAGGATGATCTACAGCAGCTTTCGTCTTCAGGCCTCAAGTTAAACCCAAAGAAGTGCAGTCTCTTCCAACGAGAGGTGACGTTTCTGGGGCACCACGTGACGCCGGAGGGCATATCGACGGATAAGGAGAAAATTCAAGCCGTCAGAGATTGGCCGCAGCCCCGAAATCTCCATGAGCTGCGAAGCTTTCTGGGGCTCTGCACCTACTACCGTCGATTTGTCCCAAATTTTGCCAACATCGCCGCCTGTCTACACCGCATGACGCAAAAAGGCCAGAGGTTTCAGTGGGGCAACGACCAAGAGGAGGCATTTAGGAAGCTCCCATTTTGGCATACCCTATACCTGGCGGCAAGTTTGTTCTGGACACAGACGCAAGTGCGTGCGGCATCGGTGGCGTCCTTTCCCAGGAAATCGACGGACAGGAAAAAGTCATCGGGTACTACAGCCGGACATTGTCGAAACCTGAGAAGAATTGCTGTGTGACGAGGAGAGAGCTGCTTGCTGTCCTTGAGAGCGTTAAACACTTCCACAAATACCTATATGGCCAGCATTTCCTGCTGAGGACCGACCACGCTGCTCTCCAATGGTTGCTGCAGTTTAAAAATCAGGAAGGTCAACTAGCCCGTTGGATCGAGAGGCTCCAGAGTTATGACTTTAGAATCGAGTACAGAAAAGGCGGAAAACACGGTAATGCTGATGCCCTGTCTCGTCGGCCATGTAAGGTAGAATGCAGGCATTGCTCAAAGGCTGAGAATAAAGAGAATATCGTCGATGTCCGACTATTGCAGTTTGAGTCGGGTGAAGATTGGTCGACGGAACAACGAGGGAATCCCATTCTGGGCAAAATAATTTCGGCCATAGAAAGGGGCAAGCGACCTAGTCGTAAAGAAATTACCTCCGAAAGCCCTCTTTTAAAATCCTATTGGGCCCAGTGGCACAGTCTACTTATAATAGATGGTTGCTTATATCGCAAATGGGAAAGTGAGGACGGTAAATCTCACCGGAACTTGATCGTCGTCCCAAACTCCAAAATAAGAGATGTCTTGTCGGAGTTTCACGATGGGCCAAGTGTAGGACATCTTGGCATAGCAAAAACCGCTGAAAAGATGAAGCGATCTATATCTAAATATGAACCGATTTTCATGAAACTTTGCACACATCATTCTAGACCTTATTCGTTTTGCTGTGCTAAATTTCGTGCAAATCGAAATATATATAGGGACTTTGGTACACCATTTACCTTAAATCGGACGAAAATATATACGGGAGCGATATCTAAATCTGAACCGAATTTCAATAGCGTTCGTCCTTGGGCCAAAGAAAAAAGCTGTGTCAAAGTTCATCCAATTTGAATCATAAATGCGATCTGTACTTTGTTTACAATTTAACATGGACAGACGGACGGAAATGCATAAATCGACTCAGAAAGTGATTCTATACATATTCTCAAAAGAAACCATGGGTCTATCTCGATTATTTTTGCCTGTTACAAACATATGTACAAAGACATAATACCCTGCACCACAGTGTGGTGAAGGGTATAAAATATTGGTTTAATATATTAAATACAATATATAATTATTTAAATTTATTAATTTTAGTTGTAATAATTAAATACTTATATTAATTAGAGTCTAAACGCAACCATAGACTCTTAGAGTCTAAACGCAACCATAGAGTCTAGAGTCAGCGACAGTCGTTTGCCGTGTGTTTCTTATAGGCAACGGGAAATCGCGACGGCTGACGTTCGCGTCTAGCGGCATGACGCTAGAATAGATTTTATTCATTTTTGCTCAGCGTCATACTCATAATTTCTCTCTTGCTCTCAATAGAGTTGCCATATTTTAGGTAAAAATCAACAGTGCTACCAAATTTCAATGAGAATTTATATCAAAACATATGGCAGTACTGTTAAAAAAACAAATATTTTCAAAGATTGTGGATGTTTTTTAATGAATTATTAATAAAATGGAAGAAAACTATTTTTTTTTTCAATAATTTTATCCAAATTCCTTGACATTATTGTTTATTAAATAATAAATTGATTTTGGTTTGCACAACGTAAAATTTTCTGTCAGAAAATGAAAATAAATAATTGACATTTTGTGCCGCTAACGCTAACTCTTTCGTTTGGTTTTCACGCCGGCGAAAAAGTATGACGCTGACTCGTGACTCTCTGGTTGCGTTTAGACTCTAAGAAACACACGGCAAACGACTGTCGCTGACTCTAGACCAAGGTATATTTAATAAGGTAGTCGCATCGACCCAGCTGTTGGACAAATAAATGTCAAAAATGTTGTTGTAATGTTGAACCAAAAATTAAAAAACAAAAGTATAAATGAAAATCTCCGAATTTCGAATAGCTTTTTTGGCAATACTTTTATTAACATTTGTTACAAGAATTTGTGTAAAAAAATCTTGCGAATCTGTTTGTTTTGGTAAAATATTTTTGACATATCAAAATACAACAACCGATGTTTGTTGTAGAAATTCGCCGATGCGGCTACCTTGTATATCTACCTTGCTCTAGACTCTATGGTTGCGCTTAGACTCTGAAGCCGAACAAAGTTTCGGCGGCGGCGGCTTTTGAATTTTATCGGCGGCTCGGCTTAGCCGGCTGTGAGCCGATCGGCGCAGGTCTCTGGGTACACTACGATTTTTAGTGTCCCGACACGACGATTTTTGGTTCTCCGGCCGCTGTTCACAACGTTTTTAGTGGACCAACATGCGGAACATTACGAATTTCGTTGTGGTCCTGTACAGTATCATTAAAATCTGTTTTAATGTTTGTGTTCCGGAAAACTAAAAGCGCATTTACATTTATTTCCTAAAACCGACACAATTTTGAGTAAAGTGGACCACACACGTCAAACATGTGCGTTCGATCGGTGTGAAGCTCCTAGCCCACACACGTCAAACGGATCCACAAAATTTCATTTCATATTTATTTTTGAAACGTGAAGATGGACAGCAATTGTGATGACGGAGAAAGATCAAATCTTTTTATTTAATATAAATTTACTAAATACTTATATTTTATTTTTTATTTCACACACTGTAGGATATATGTAAAAAACATCAAAAAAAATTCTTCATAAAAAATTTTTGCATATGTTTGACATTGTCCGCTGATCCGCACTCCACGAGATTTCACAAGAAATGAGAAAATATCCATACACCAGGCCACAGACGTCAAACATGTGCGCATCGCACAACGAGAAACATTGCTTCGATTGACGTACGCACATATTTGGCGTGTGTGGCCCACTTGATTTACAATAGAGGTGTATTTTCTCCTTTCTGACCTTGTATAATTGTACCATGGTACAATAATTAATTTTTTTTTAATTCAAATTAATTTTTTAATTCAAAATTCGTGATAACAATTTTTCTTTTTGTAAACAAGTGTCTGTGCAGACGTAAACAAACTAAAAGCGAATTTACATATAAGATTTAATCATGATTAAAGGCTGAATCAGGGTTTATTTTCTTAATCAGGCTAAATTTACCATGATTTACCACACAAATTTAAATCATCGTGCAGCAGGATTTATTTTAAATCATGATTGAAATCATGATACTACTGAGATGCAACGCGGGTTTTGTACGAAAAAATACAACTCTCTCACAATGTACCAAAATTTGCAACTGTTTTTACATGCCGTTTGTTTTTAAATTTAACGGCTGACAAATACAAAAATGACAGATCAAAGGAAAATAAAAATTAATTATAGAATTTTTGTATTATTAGGTTCTTTTACTTTCCAAACGATCACAGTATTGCAAAAACATTTCCATTGTGGTAATTCTTCTATTCTTTTTCAAATTGCAAACAAATATCTTTGGCGCAAATTAATAATTTTGTATGTATACTAACAAACATCAGCTGATCGGCATTTAGATCATGATTAAGGGTATGTGTAAACAATTAGGGTGTATTTCTGGATTTCGTTAATCGAGTCGATTTAAAATCGTATATGTAAATATACTTTAAATGTTTACGTCTGCAATGTAAATAACCTTAATTTATTTTCAGGATTTCGTAAATCCACATAAGTGTATTTGCGTAGGTACATGCGTATAACGTTAAAAATATTTAGTGTTCCTGTATCAGGTACGGTACAATACGATAGTGTACCGTTTATTTACGAACACTGAAAGGGACTTACCAATAATCATTTTTTGCTTTTAGTTCGTCGTTCGTTATACATTCAAAAGTTTTCATTATTTTACAGTTTATAATTCATAAATGAAATGACTGTCAAAACTTGTTCAAACATATTAATATTATTCGCTTTTGAAAATATATAATCGTGAATTTGACCATTGAATAATTGCATTTGTAATATGGAACGTTTTTATTTTGATTATTCGTTGAGTTGCAACGCTGGGTACAATGGCGGCCACGTCACTTTCTTTGCCTTCTTAACGTTCCCTTTCTCCAAGTTTTTGTTGTGTGTTTTGTGCCGACATTTGTGTTAAAGTATTGTATTGAAATGTATATCATAAGAAATTTAACAAAGTCTTTCAACGATTAATATTTTTTATGTATTTCCAGATTGAAATCTCACAATCATCAACGTCGAATTAGGTTGGATCGGCTGTGTATCTTTATAAATCGAAACAAACCGAAATACATACATTTTGCTGACCTACTAAAATGAATATCTTTCGATTGGCTGGTGATTTGGCCCACGTCTTCGCCATTATTATTTTACTTCTAAAAATATGGAAAACAAGATCCTGTGCTGGTATTTCTGGAAAATCGCAGATTTTATTTGCCTTAGTATATCTGACCAGATATTTGGATTTATTTACTACATACGTAAGCCTATATAACTCTGTAATGAAAGTCCTGTTTCTGGCTTCATCCGGGGCAACCGTTTATCTGATGTATGTTAAATTCAGAGCCACATACGACCGCAATCACGACTCGTTTCGTATTGAATTTCTGCTGGTGCCATGTCTTCTATTATCATTGTTAATCAACCACGAGTTTACTGTTATGGAGGTTTTATGGACCTTTTCAATCTACCTAGAATCCGTTGCCATCTTGCCTCAATTGTTTATGGTTAGCAAAACTGGGGAAGCTGAATCTATCACAAGTCATTACCTGTTTGCTTTAGGATCATACCGAGCTCTATATTTACTAAATTGGATATATCGCTACATAGTGGAATCACATTATGATTTAATTGCAATTTTTGCTGGAATTGTGCAAACAATTTTGTACTGCGATTTCTTCTATTTATACATTACAAAAGTGCTGAAAGGTAAAAAATTGCAGTTGCCGGCTTAAATAGTCACAGAACTTTTTAATTGAATGTAGAAGTGGACACGAAATTTGCAAATACATTTTTTAAATCACGTAATATCAATTATTCTTTATGTTACATATTTAAATGTATTAATATTTCTCCACCTTCCATTTTTCTAAAGTAATCGTAAGAACTTATTGTGTGGCTTTATTTTATGTATATTACGTTTGTAATGTTATGCGACTTTTGATAAGTTTAATTGAATGAAATAAAGATAGAAATAACACTATAATTTTTTAAGTCGAGCTATGTATACTTTCCAATTGCATATTAATAAATAAAATATATTTGAATAGTTATGAATTTACTTTGGAGCGAATGGAATATTAGAGCTAAACTAGAATCGATCTGAAATTTTTTTCTCAATGTAGGTCTTGTTAAGCTCAAAATTTTTGGCTCCTTTTGCATTTCGTTGAAAAAAAATATATGTGGTAGGTGCCAATAGTCGGCACTAAGAATTTTCGCCTTTTAAACGTTTCACCATTCCAAGTTCATCTTTTCCACGGTATTGTATTTAGGTTCATCGGTTTCGAAATTATGTTTGCTCCCCGAAGGAACACAAATTTGTTTGTATTAAGGGGACCTCCCATTCTCGATTTTAAATATTCTAGATTTTCATTGGGCTAGTAAATGAATACCTATGCATGTTAAAGTTTGTAACTTAACACACACACATATATATATATATATATATATATATATTTAAAGATTTAAAAGAGAAGGAAATTAATTTGCAAAATTTGGTTGTTGATGTTGTTTTGTTGTAGCAACTGTCTACATGGTTCTGATCCTCTGTTTCCAGGTTCAGGAAGGTTGCAATCTGCATCGGCTGCGTCCAAAGAGATTCCGGAGACAGATGAGTGGGTTTAGCAGGGCTGTTAAATAGATGCAGTGTATCGTGTGGTCCAAGTCCACACGCTGGTCATGTGTTTGAAACCGTGCTGTCAATTCGGGCCCAATACGAATTGAGGCGGCTGCACCATCCTGATCTTAGTTGGGCTAAAACCACTCTCGTTTGTCTAGGCAGCTGTCGTTCTTCTGCTGCTATAGGTGGTGGGTGGAATCCGATTACTGCATTCACATGGTATTGGTCCATTGCCTGGGTCACTGCTTCCGTGTGAATGCCGGTAATTCCTACTCGATAAGCCTTTTGATCTAGGGGTTCTCTTTATAACCGTTGGATCTCTCCCTAGATCATGTAGGTCTCTTCTTACATGCCTGGGTGGGTGAATCCTATCCATAAAATTGTGGAATGAAATATTCCTGCGATAACACCAAAGCAGGTACGGCATCGACAACATTCTGTTGTGACGATGCGGGTAAGACCATTGCCTCCTCATGTAAATGGTCCACTGGCGTCATAAGGAGGCACCCTGCCGCAGTTCTCAGGGCGGCATTCTGACAGGTTTGAATGTTCTTCCACTACGTATCGCTTACATTCGAGAACCACACTGGCGCCGCATAATTTACCACCGACCGACCTATTGCTTTGTAGGAGGTCAACAAGGTCTCTTTATCAGCCCCCCAAAAGCTGCCGGCAAGCGACTTGAGGACCTTGTTTCTGCTTCTCATCATATTACAAATAGCGGTGGCTTGCGTGGACTTAAATAAGTTATCGAACGTTACACCCAAAATTTTGGGATAGTTTGTGGTCGGAATTAGTGTACCATTGAACATTATGTTCAGAGGGAGCTTCATTTCAGCCGTCCATGTGGTGAACAGAGTGGCTGAGGATTTGGCGGCGGATATCTTCATATTCCTCAGATGGAAAAACTGTACTAAATCAGATATGTTGATTCCCTTAAAGTAGATTAAATTAATAATTATGTAAAATAGTGCCTTTATGACAAAAGTCGACACTTTTTTCCAATTGTCGGCAAAACATGGTGCCGACTTTGGGAACCTGTTATCCAATTCTCGGCATGGCTAAATAAGACATTTCAGAGGTTAAAAAATTTAAGATTAAACAATGTCTTCCATAATGTAAAAACACTCAAAACTGATTTTTTTATACATAAATCCCTATTTATAAAATGATCGAATAGTGCTTATTATTCACCCATATGCCGACTATAGGAAAACCTTAAAAATTCATTTTACATGTTTTGCAACTTTTTACTCGAAAACCGTTCCTCAACCCACAAAACTGGTAAAACATTGAATCAAATTTAAGAGAGCACAAAACAAAATGGCGTTCTTTTTGTAAACTTTTTACTCGAGAAATTTGGCCGAGTAAAAATGGTAAACAGGAATGCCTACTTCTGATTGGCTGTTATGTTGATTTTGAAGTATTGACATCTAATTTTGGCATATTTACTAGATTTGCGTTCCCGAACTTTTCAAATTATTTTGTACTCTGAGAGCTTTTTTGAAAAATTTCCCTTTTTAAAAAAGTACTGGAACAGACCAATAATTACAAATATTTTTTGATGATTTTAGATTCTAAAGTATTATCTAAAGTATTTTAGATTCTGAAGTATATTATCTAAAGTATTTTTATATAATTACAAGTTTTTTGAAATTGACATGCCCACTATTGTTTCTTAAGAAACATGAATTATCGCTAATGTTGACAAACCTCATTTACTTAGCTCGATTTAATTTTATATAGAGATAGGTTGTAGTGTTGTTGAAGATTATTAAAGGCGTTTTTCATATTTAGTTATAGGATTTTTTAGTTATTTGAAGTTATATAAAACTGATGTCGACTATTGGTACATGCCAGAATTGGGTGCGTTTACCCTATATGTATACAGTGCGAAGCGAGTACATGTTTGTACTTTGGACAATTTTTACGTCATAAAAATAAAAGTAAAAAAGCAAATTCAAAAGTGTTGGTCGTATTTTATTGAGTACTTTGTACTTAACAAATCAACATAAATTAAAAAAATAAAATAATAAAAAATCAACCACCATGTACTTACTTCTGCACGTTTGAAAAAAAATGCAGAATACGAACTCAGAGTTCCTGAGTTCTCTTCTCAAAAGAGCCGCAGCTGTGTTGCTTAAAAATGTTGCATGTGTAAATCCAGACTTATACCCTAGTTGTATATTTTTAATGTGTCACTTATGCAATTTCGCATATTTCAATCAGTTCTAGTGCGATTTCATTAGAAATATTATTCCAATCACATGAGATCCACTGCCAAAGTTCGTAAAAATCATTAGGGACTGATTGGTGGCGTAGGGGATGATAGATACCAAGCAACGGCCCTGATTGGCTTTAACATGGCGAAGCCCAGGCTTATCTTGGTCCCTCTTTCATCTCAATTGTGGACACTGACCTCCCCGCGGTGCCACCTGGGGAGCTATTCTCATCACCCGATGAAATAGTGAGCTAACATGTGCCGCGAGTTCACCCATAAGAACTATAAAAAAATGGGTTGAGGCGTCGGGTTAGTTGCCCACCCTCGGAAAACCCAACCTACTATGAAAAAGCAAAGAAAAAGAAAACCAAACCCCCCTAATGTTGACGACCCCCGCAAACGTATAAAGGACCACGATCTGCGAATCTGCACTTGGAATGTGCGCACGTTGTACAGAGCAGGGGCAGTGTTCGCTTTGGCGGATATACTCAAGAAGTACAAAGCCGATATTATTGCCTTACAGGAAATGCGATGGAAAGGGACAGGCGTAAGTAAATCAGACGATTACGCCCTGTATTATAGCTGCCATGAAACGAGACATGAATTTGGCTGCGGATTTATGGTTAACAGGAGAATAAAAGACCTTGTCTCCAGATTCACTCCAGTAGATGAGCGAATTGCTATAATCCGTATAAAAGCGAAGTTCTTTGACATCAGTCTATTTTGCGCCCATGCTCCGACCGAAGAAAAAGATGAACAGACCAAAGACATATTTTACGAGCGCCTAGAAACAGCATATGACCGTTGCTCTGGCCATGACATTAAAATTCTGCTAGGAGATTTTAATGCAAAAATCGAAAGGGAAAATATCTTTGGTCCCACCGTCGGAAAATTCAGCCTTCATGAAGAAACATCCGACAACGGCATGAGGTTGATTGACTTCGCGGCAGCAAAAAACATGGTAGTTAGCAGCACCAGATTCAAGCATCTCGATATACACAAGGCCATCTGGATTTCTCCTGATCAAGTAACGAGAAATCAAATTGATCATGTTGTGATAGACGGAAGGCATTCATCCAGTGTTTTAGACGTCCGATCGATCCGAGGAGCGAATATCGATTCGGACCATTACCTTGTGGCAGCCAAGGTACGCACCCGTCTTAATGTTGCAGCAAAGGTGCGATCTAATACAACACGGAAACTCGACGTCGAAAAGCTGCAAACACAACAGGTAGCCGAGGCCTACTCCGCTCAACTTACCCATCTGCTTGAAGAAAGCACTTCTTGTCCCGATAATAGCATAGAAGCACAATGGCAAAGAATTGCCCACTCCCTACAAACTGCAGCAAAAAGAACAATTGGGTACCAAAAACCACCACCAAGAAACCCATGGTACGACCAGGAGTGTCGTAATGCTACTGATGTGAAAAACGCAGCGTATAGGGCAACCCTGCAGACAGTAGCAACACGTAACGTGATGGAGAATTATCGGGAGAAAAGGAGAGAGGAGAAACGTGTTTTCAGAAAAAAGAAGAAAGAACAAGAAAAACGTGAGCGTGAGCAAATCGAGATGTACAGGAATCAGAATGAAGTCCGGAAATTTTACCAACGAGTAAAACACCAAACCGAAGGCTTTGGTGCAGGCACATCCTCAAATCTGTAGAGATGAATGAAAATTTTACCAACGGAAACCTGGTGCAGGCACATCCTCCTCTAGAGATGAAGAAGGAAACCTGGTGACAGATACAGACACCGTGTTGAGGATCTGGAAGGAGCACTTCGAAAAGCTACTAGTATCAAATAGTGGCGATGAAGAAGATACCCCAGAACCAATAAGAGATGATGGTATAGAGTGTATACCACCTAGCCAAGATGAGGTCATAAAAGCAATTAATCGGCTCAAGAACA